TACTTGGGAGGCTGAGGCAGGAAAACTTCCTGAACCCGGGAGGCAGAGGTTACAGAGAGCTGAGATCATTTCACTGCATTCCAGCCTGGGCAAGAGCGAAACTCCGTCTCAAAAAAAAAAAAAAAAGTACTGGGAATGACTTGTCTAATTTACTTTCATTGTCTCATGACTGTACAGTAGGGCTTTCCAGAGCCTGTAAGATATGTAGAATTGTATATACACGATTGAATCCAATATCTTCTATTAAGGAAGAAAAAAAAATTGAAAAATTGTAAAACAATGCCCTTCTTCTCATTATAACTTTTTTCTTTTGGAAATTCTTTTGTGAAGTTTTTTTTCACATAACTATGTTATTTACGTTAACATTTTATTGTATTCATGTAAACATTATTTTATATATTTTAATATTATTTTTAAGTTAGCCTGCAGTAAAATCGACTCTTCTTGTGTACAGTTCTATCAGTTTAATTTTTTTTTTTTTGAGACAGAGTCTCACTGCCACCCAGGCTGTAGTACATTGGCATGATCACAGTTCACCGCAGCTTCCACCTCCCAGGCTCCAGCGATCCTCCCACCTCAGCCTCCCAAGTAGCTGGGACTACAAGCATGCACCATCACACCAGGATCATTTTTAAATGTTTTGTAGAGACGGTGTTTTGTCCTGTTGCCCAGGCTGGTCTTAAACTGCTTGGCTCAAGTGATCCTCCAGCCTTGGCCTCCTAAACTCCTGGGATTACAGGCATGAGTCACCATGCCTGGCCAGTTCCAGACATTTTAAAAAATATAAATTGATACAGCCACTGCTTCAATTCAGATACGAAACAGCTCCATCACCATAAGAAGCTCCCTCGTGCTCCTCCATTAAGGCCACATTCTCCCACTAACTCCTGGGAACCACTGATCTGTTCTCTAACATTATAGTTGCATCTTTTTGAGGTTGTCATATAAATAAAATAATGCAATATGTAAGCCTTTGAGACAGGCTTCTTTCACTCAGAATGTTACCTCTGAGATCCAAACAAGTTGCTGGATCCTTTTTTTTTTTTTGCTGGGTAATATTCCATTCACTATAGATGGACCAAAGATTGCTTACCCATTTACCAGGAGAAGAAGTTTTCAGTTGTTTCCCACTTGGGGGTATTACAAAGAAAGTTGTATGAAACACAGCTATACAAGTTTTCATGTGACCACAACTTTTCATTTGCTAAGGTAAATACCTAGGACTGGGACTGGTGGGTGATACAGTAAGCACATGCTTAACTTCATAAAAGGCTGCCAAACCTTCTTCCAGAGTGACTGCATTATTCTGCATTCCCACCAGCAATGTGTGCAAGTTCTGGTTACTCTACATTCTTGATATCACTTGGACATGTCAGTTTTTCTATTTTAGCTACTGTTATGGTGTCTCACAATGGTTTTTTGTTTTGATTTGTTGGAGGCAAGGTCTCACTCTGTCGCCCAGGCAGGGGTGCAGTGGTACTATCATAGCTCACTGCGACTTCAATCTCCAGGGCTCAAGTAACCCTCTGGCTTCAGCCTCCCGAGTAGCTGAGACTACAGGAGTGTGCCACCATACCCAGACATGTTTTTATTTTTCGTAGAGACAGGATCTCACTATGTTGTCCAGGCTGGTCTGGAACTCCTGAGCTCAAGCAATCCTCCAGCCTTGGCTTCCCAAAGTGCTAGAATTACAGGCATGAGCCACTGCCCCCAGCCTTACTATGGTTTTAATTTGCGCTTCCTGATGGCTAATTAGGTTGAAAATATTTTCTTGTGCTTATTTTCCATCCATATAACTACTTTGATGAAGTATCTGCTCAACTGTTTTACCCATTTTTTACTAAACTCTGTTTTTGTTCTGTTGAGTTGTGAGAGGTCTTTATATACACTGAATACTAGTCTTTGTCAGATAAGTGATTTCTCAACATTTTTCCAAGTCTGTGGTGTGTATTTTTATTCTCTTAACAGTGTATTTTGCAGAGCAGGGGTTTTGAATTTTTACATTTACATATATAATCAATTTTAGTTAGTCTGTGTTTAAGGTGAGATTTAGGTCAAGGTTCATTTTTTTTTTCAGGATGACTGGTTTTGGAAACACTGTCCTTTCTCCTTTGAATTACTTTTTCACCTTCATCAAAAATCAACTGGTCATCACCTCATATCCATCAGAGTGACTACTGTAAAACAAAACAAAAAACAGAAAATAATGAGTGTTGGTGTCACAGGCATTTGAGCCAGAGCAACTCCATCTTGAACAGGAGCTGGGTAAAATAAGGCTGAGACCTGCTGGGCTGCATTCCCAGGAGGTTAGGCATTCTAAGTCACAGGGTAACATAGGAGGTTGGCACACGATGCAGGTCACAAAGAGCTTGCTGATAAAACAGGTTGCAGTTTAGCCGGCCAAAGCCCAGAAAAACCAAGATGGCGAAGACAGTGACCTCTGGTGGTCCTCACTGCTCATTATACACTAACTATAATGCATTAGCATCCTAAGAGATGCTTCCACCAGCACCGTGACCATTTACAAATGCCGTGGCAATGTCAAGAAGTTACCCTGTATCCTCTAAAAAGGGGAGGAACCCTCAGTTCTGGGACTTGCCCATCCCTTGCCCAGAAAACTTATCAATATTCCACCCCTTGTTTAGCGTATCATCAAGAAATAACTCTAAGTACCCTTAGTCAAGCAGCCCATGCCGCTGCTCTGCCTGTGGAGTAGCCACTCTTTATTCCTTTACTTTCTTAATAAACTTGCTTTCACTTTATGGACTTGCTCAAATTCTTTCCTGGGAGGAGTCCAAGAACCCTCCCTTGGGGTCTGGGTCAGGACTCCTTTCTAGTAACATTGGTGAGAATATGAAGAAACTGAAACTCTTGAGCACATGGTCATGAGAATGTAAAATGGTGTAGCCACTAAGGTGAACAGTATGGTGGCTCCTCAAAAAATTAACGATGGAATTACACTATGATCTAGCAATTCTACTTCTGGGTATACATTAATAATAATATAGACTAAATAATAGAAACTACTACTAATAACCAAACTTGATGTATCCTACTATACTCTCCCAGCACAGAGTACTTCAGACACAGGCTATGTGTGGCATTCTCCCCACACACCAAGTATGTAACCAACTCTGCAACATGTGACACCAACTGGGTGTCCTCTAATTCAATTCTATTCTGACACTATCTACCTACAGATAGCATCAGATCCCACAGGTTGAGGGCTCAGTCTGCAAGACTGCCCCCGACATCCTATGCCAATTGCAAGCCTTAGGAGACCAGGGATCCCCACCTCTAGTTCGATTAATTTGCTAGAAAGGCTCACAGAACTCAGGAAGACACTTAACTTACATTTACCAGTTTATGGTAAATAATATTACAACAGATATTGATGAAGAGATGCCTAGGGTAAAAGATGAAAAGGGACGTGGAGGTTTCATAACCTCCCGGGCATGCCACCCTCTGGAACTTTCATGAGTCCACTATTTAGAAACTGCCCACACCCTGTCCTGTGCAGTTTTTAGAGAAGCTTTCTGAGGTCGGTCGGCATAACTGATTGAACAGTTGACCACTGGTGATTAACTTTAACCTTTAGCCCCCTTTTCCTCCCTAAAGGATGGGGCTACGGCCAAAAGTCCCAACCTTCTAATCATTTCTGGTGACCAGCCCCTTTCCTGAAGCTACCTAGGAGCTGCCAGCCATCTATCAATTTATTAACATAAAAAAAGACATCACTTTGGAGATTCCAAGGATCTTAGGAGTTGTATGCCAGGAAATTGGAACAAAGACCAAATATATATTTCACAGTACAATAATACCAAAAATAATTGAAAGCAGGAAGTTGATATTTGAATACACATGTTCATAGCAGCCATATTCACAATACCCAAAAGGTAGAAGGAATGAATGGATAAACAAAATGCAGTATACACATCCAAGAGAATATTATTCAGTGTTAAAAAGAAATTCTGACATATGCTACAACATGGATGAACCTTGAGGACATTACATTAAGTGAAAAAAGCCGGTCATAAAGACTACATGATTACTTATATGAGGTACCTAAAATAGTCAAGCTTATAGAGAGAGAAAGTAGAATGGGGGCTGCCAGGAGCTGGGGAAAGGAGAAAGGGTGAGTGGTTGTTTAATGGAAATAGAGTTTGTTTTGCAAGATGAGAAAGTTCTGCAAATTAGTTGTACAACAATATAAATATATTTATCCACACTGAACTGTGTACCTAAAAATGGTGGCAATGATAAATTTATGTTACGTGTATTTTACCACAATTTAAAACAATCAATTGGCCATATTTTTGTGAGGAACTAAGTCTGGGTTCCATTCTGTTCCACTGATCTACATGTCTAAATCTTCTCCAATACCACACTGCATAGTGGGTTTTTTTGTTTGTTTGTTTTTGAAATGGAGTTTCAATCTTGTCACCCAGGCTCGAGTGCAATGGCATAATCTCAGCTACCAGCAATCTCCACCTCCCAGATTCAAGCGATTCTCCTGTCTCAACCTCTCCACTAGCTGAGATTACAGGAGCCTGCCACCATGCCTGGCTGATTTTTGTTTTTTTGGTAGAAATGGCGTTTCACTATACTGGCCAGGCTGGTCTCAAACTCTTGACCTCAGGTGATCTGCCTGCCACAGCCTCCCAAAGTGCCGGGATTAGAGGCATGAGCCACTGCACCCGGACCTGATAGTGTCTTAAAACTGAACATTACTGGCCAGGAACTATGGCTCACGCCTATAATCCCAACACATTGGGAGTCCGAGGCAGGCAGATCACGAAGTCAGGAGATCAAGACAATTCTGGCCACCATGGTGAAATCCCGTCTCTACTAAAACACAAAAAATTAGCCGGACATGGTGGCAATGTCAGCTACTCAGGAGGCTGAGGCAGGAGAATCGCTTGTACCTGGGAGTGGAGGTTGCAGTGAGCCGAGATTGCGCCACTGCACTCCAGTGTGGTGGCAGAGCCAGACTCTGTCTCAAAAAATAAACAAATAAATTGAACATTGCTTATTTTTTATTTGGGGGAAAGGTTGAGATAAGATGCATAGCTATAAAAAGAACCACTAGTGATTATTTCCCGTTTCCTCGAACTAGCTGCTGATCGTTTCGTACCTTGGTTCGCTTTCGACATGCCTGAGACAGCAAAGTCCGCTCCCACCCCGAAGAAGGGCTCCAAGAAGGCGGTGACCAAGGCGCAGAAGGACGGCAAGAAGAGCAAGCGCAGCCGCAAGGAGAGCTACTCCATGTACGTGTACAAGGTGCTGAAGCAGGTGCACCCCGACACCAGCATCTTCTAGAAGGCCATGGGCATCATGAACTCCTTCGTCAACGACATCTTTGAGCGCATCGTGGGCAAGGCTTCCCGCCTGGTGCATTGCAACAAGCCCTCGACCATCACCTCCAAGGAGATCCAGACGGCCGTGCTCCTGCTGCTGGCTGGGGAGCTGGCCAAGCAAGCCGTGTCGGAGGGCACCAAGGCCGTAAGTAAACTTGCCATGGAGGGACATTTTCTGGAATTTCCTGATCTGATCAAGAAAACTTCTTACCAAAAAAAAAAAGCACAAATGCTTTCTGTTACCTCATTATCTACTGCAGAAAAGACAACTGAGGAATGCAACCACACCTGGATGGACTTTTCCACAAGATAAAGCTGGCTTCTTGGTCTCATTTAGATTTCAAAGAGAATCATTTACAAGTTAATTTCTGTCTCCCTGGTTCATTCCTTCTTGCTTATAATCATTCGCTGTTCCTCAAATAATTGTATACATTACCCATCTCCTCTTTTGCCTCTGAGAAAGGGTATATAAGCTTCTGTACCACACCGAGGGGTTGGAGTAATCATTCTGTGGCCCCCAGCCCTGTACATTAAATTTGTATGCCTTTAAAAAAAAAAAAAAAAAAAAAACAAATAGTATTGTAAATATATTTTTAAATAAAAAAAAAGGAAACAGTCTGATAAGTTTTATGCTGAGAAAGATGGGGCCATATTATATTCCTCTGTTTTCCAGGGCCCCACCCAGTGGCTGACTCCCACGGAGTAAGCACTCAAGACATTTTTTGTGAGACAGGGTACTGCTGGGTTGCGCATGTGGAGTGCAGTGGTGTCATCACGGCTCACTGCAGCCTCCAACTCCTGGGCTCAAGTGATCCTCCTGTCCGGGCTGGTCTTTAACTCCTGGGCCGAAGCTATCCTGCTTGAGCCTCCCAAAGTGCTGGAATTACACCATTTGACTGCCGGGCACTCAATTAATTTCCGACAAAGGAATGAAGATATAACTTCCTTTACCCACTGCAGCTTAAAATACAAGAGAAGCTCTGGGATATTAAAATGAGAAACAGTCTTGGAAAAAATTAATTTGAGCACACAGAATATTTGCCAGTATGTGCTACAAAAAATATGCAGTCAAAAATATCCATAGAAGTGTTGCTTAGAATGGGGCAAAAGCCCAAGGGAAAAAAAACCTCTCACAGGGTTAATGAGAACTACAAGCCAGGCTTTAGGCAGAATTGTAGTCAGGCATCAACCAGGGTGCACTGGTGTGCCCTGACTCACTTCCCTGCAGCTGCTAACTAACCGAGGGGCTCGCAGCACACTGACCACCTGCTCCCTCATTGCTCCCATTGATAGAAACCGACACTGGACCTTTTTACCCAAGAATTGTTTAAGGTGTTTTACGGATCCTGAATTCCAGCAGAATCCCTGATGCCAACAGGTCTGAAGATCCCTACCAGGAAACTGACTCAGCATCTCCTGGTCCAATGACTTCACCCCCCACTTCTCAGCCAATCAGCAGTCCCCATACTTTGGCCCATCACCTGTCCAAACCCCTTAGAATCCCCATCCCCAAACCTCCCAGGGAGGCAGATTTGAGGTTTCCTCTCATCTTCTCATTCAGTTGCCCTACAATTATTCATCTCCTTCTCTACTGCAACTCCCACTGTTTTGGTGCATTTTGGTGCAACAGGCAATCCAACCTGGTGGTCTTATAACCATGTTAAGGTGAAACAGAGAAATAAATAAATGTGAAACAGAGAGGTGTGACTTGGAAATTGTATACACTGGGTGTGGCAACTCCCCTATACCTTGTGTTTTCATAGTAACTTTGTTAACGTTAATAAAGAGCTACCTTTGACTGACTGTGATTCTGATGAGGAGGAGGAGGAGGAGAATAGGGGTGGTAAGGTTTTAAACTATTCTCTTTCCTCATTTTCCAAGCATTTACAAGTAGCTAAATTTTTCCAAGTATTCCTTTCTACAGAACTTCTATTAAAATAAAAAGCAATTCTGAATCAAGCCTTATGCATATGAATTAATGGTTCTACCTTATAGATCCCAAATCAGTGTGTCATTTGGGCAAGTCACCTCTCTCCCAGATTCCTATCTGTGCTATATGTAACTGGAATTTTGCAACAGATGTTACACTCTTCCTTCTCCTTAGCAGCTCTGTTAGAAACTTTAAGAAAGCCTGAGAGTAAAATCTGTACTGTATAAATCCAGAGGAATGTTTATACAAACTAATTTCCTCCAATCTGGTCACCTTTCTATGCGAAAATTCCTCATCTTACAACGTCTCATACATAAAGTCATTTGGCCTCTTAACTGCACTGTTGAATATTTTTAAGACAAAAAAACTTGCTAACTCAAAACAGTGAAAGCATTCAATTCAAAATAAAGTGAAAAGCCACATATGGCTTAGAGGGAGAAAGCAGTGCTAATGATTTTAGGCCTTAACAGTTTGAGATCAAGACTGGCTGCTCTGAAGCCATCTTTGCATTGTTCCTCGCCCAGCTCCTTGCTCACCGCAGCCGCCTCCACTGCGCGCCTCGACTCTTCCGCTGAGGACTCTGGCAGCTTTATCACCAGAGTCCCTGAACTCTCGCTTTCTTTTTAATCCCCTGCATAGGATCACCAGCGTGCTCCACCATGTCAGACGCAGCCAGAGACACCAGCTCCGAAATCACCACCAAGGACTTGAAGGAGAAGAAGGAAGATGTGGAAGAAGCAGAAAACGGAAGAGATGCCCCAGCTAATGGGAATGAGGAAAATGGGGAGCAAGGGGCTAACAGTGAGGTCAATGAAGAAGAGGAGGAAGGTGGGGAGGAAGAAGGTGATGGCGAGGAGGAGGATGGAGATAAAGATGAGGAAGCTGAGTCGGCTATGGGCAAGCGGACAGTAGAAGATGCTGAGGATAACGATGTCGATACCAAGCAGAAGACCGATGAGGATGACTAGACAGCAATAAAGGAAAAACTAAAAAAAAAAAAAAAAAAAAAAAAAAAAAAAAAAAAAAAAAAAAAAAAAAAAAAAAAAAAAAAAAGACTGCCGTGACCCTATTCCCCTTGCACTTCCCATCTCAGAATCTAAACGTGGTCACCATCTTTGAGTAGAGAGGCCCGCCTGCCTGCCCACCACGGGCAGGGCCACCTGCAGATGACACATGCGCTCCACCACCCAACCCAAACTGTGAGAATTTGCAGCAGGGGAGGAAAACAGCCAAAACTTCCAAGGCCCTGCTTTTTCATAAAAGTACTTTAAAAAGGAATTTGTTTGTATTTTTATGTACATTTTATATTTTTGTACATATTGTTAGAGTCAGCCATTTTTAATGATCTCCAATGACCAAACCAGCCTTCAGAGTGTTCTCTGTCCTACTTCTGATTTTACTTCTGGTATGATCATGTCCATTACAATCTCAAAGGAGAAAAAATATGTTGTTAAAAAAAAGCAAAAACAACAACAGAAAAACAATCTTATCTGAGCATTCCAGTAACTTTTTTGTGTATGTACTTAGCTATACTATAAGCAGTTGGTTTCCATGAGATGGTTTAAAAGGCCAGCTGGGCCCGGTGGCTCATACCTGTAATCTCAGCACTTTGGGAGGCTGAGGCAGGCAGATCACATGAGGACACAAGTTCGAGATCACTTTGACCAACATGGAGAAACACTGTCTCTACTAAAAATACAAAAAATTAGCCAGGTGTGGTGGTGTACGCCTGTAATCCCAGCTACTCGGACAGCTGAGGCAGGAAAATCACTTGAACCCAGGAGGTGGAGGTTGCAATGAGGCGAGATCCCACCATTGCACTCCAGCCTGGGCAACAAGGATGAAATTTGTCTCAAAAAAAAAACAAAAAAAAAAAAAAAAAGGCCAAATACAAAAGGTTTCTTTTTTTCCCTTGTTATCTATGAAATTGCAGTGGGTTTTCTTTTTCTTTTCTTTTTTCTTTTGGCCCGCTTGATGTGTGTGTGAAACACTGTCGTCCAACAATAAAAAGGAAATTTATTTTGTTGAGGTGTTCTTAAAAAAAAAAAAGTTTCAAATCCCAGAGAGAAACGTAATAAACGAATAGGCCTGCAAAAATATCAAGGTTATTGGTATTTAAAATCAAACAGTGGCTGGGCATGGCTCACGCCTGTAATCCCAGTACTTTGTTTGGGACACTGTGGGCAAATCACATGAGGCCAGAAGTTCGAGACCAGCCTGGCTAACATGGTGAAATCCCATCTCTACTAAAAATACAAAAATTATCCAGGTCTGGTGGTACATGCCTGTAACTCAGTTACTTGGGAGGCTGAGGCAGGAGAACCACTTAAACCTGGGAGGCAGCAGTTGCAGCGAGCCAAGCCTGCGCCACTGCACTCCAGTCTAGCCGACAGAGTGAGACTCCATTTCAAAAAATTTTTAAACTAAAATCAAACCATCAGAGTAGTTCAGACCTTCTCCTAACACTTGCAGGGCCCAGACTAAGAATGCAAAAGACGGCCCAAATATCCTATCTCCAGGTGTATTTAAGTTGCAAATCAGATTAACAAACTGTCAGATAAAACATGCTCTATCTTCCTAGCTTGACAAATGCACCCATCTAAAACATTAAATTTTTTTTTGTTGTTGGGTTCGGGGACGGAGTCTTGCTCTGTTGCCCAGGCTGGCATGCAGTGGTGCAATCTTGGCTTGCTGCAATCTACACCTCCCGGGTTCAAGCAATTCTCCTGCCTCAGCCTCCCAAGTAGCAGGATTACAAGCGTGTGCCACCACACCTGGCTAATTTTTGTAGTTTTTTAGAGACAGGGTTTCACCATGTTGGCCAGACTGGTCTCAAACTCCTGACCTCGTGAACTGTCTGCCCCGGCCTCTGAAAGTGCTGTGATTACAGGAATAAGCCACTGCGCCTGGCCCATTCATGTTATTATAATTAAAACTTGCATGTAACTTATGCTTTACTGACAGTATGGATGCTTGTTCCATCTAGCCCTACATACATACAAATGAAAGAATAGCATGCATCGTTCAGTATTACAAAATGTTTCTCGGGTGTTATGTGCAACTGTGGTGAATACCAGAGTAATATTAAGTACCTTGGCAATCAGAGCTGGAATGTGAAAAGAACATGAATGCTCAGCATATCAATATTTCAATTAGGCAAGAGCTAATTGCTTTCATGCTATCCACGTGTAAGGATTTGGCAGGCAACTGTGTTTTCTTCTTTCCTAAGTACTTCTTGCTCTCAAATCCATCCTCTAATTGGAACAGGATCTGCTTTGACATCAGTGGCATACAACCCACAAACTCCCATGACCATTGTATGCAGGTGCCTTGTGTTTTGAGAGCATAGGTCAAGAGACATCCCTTGGTGAGCAGCGTTGCACATAAGCATGGGCGTTTAGGGCTTTGGGTCATGCTGCGCCAGCACAGAGCATGGGGTCCTGAGAGACAAAAGTACCATGTGCCTGTAACAAAGCAACGTAGGTATTGGGGTGTATAAAATGTGTTGGGGTTCCGGGTTTCAGAGCATAGTCCCTTTTGCCTGCCTCTAAAGGAGATATTGGTGCAGTTCATAAACAAATAAAACATTTGTACTAATTACGCCATGAAAATCATTTGTTCAACCTGATTCTACCCCTTTTAGGTACCCAACATAATAAATTACAACTCCATATTAATGTCTTCTTAAAGTAGAATCATAAGAACAATAGAGAAATATCATAATAAGGGAAACAATAAATTGGGGTCCTGTTCACTAGCAAATTGTGTCTGTTCATTGCTGAAAATGTGAAAATTCAGGAAAACAGCGTATTTCCTAAAGCATGTACACAGGGTAGGGCTGTGGTCATTGTGGTTTTGTTTTTTGCTTTTCAAAAGGATTCCCAGGCTGGGTGCCAGGTCTCACACCTGTAATCCTCTGGGAGGCCAAGGCGGGTGGATCACCTGAGGTCAGGAGTTCGAGACAAGCCTGGCCAACATGGCAAAAAATTATCCGTTTTCCCTAGTTCATTCAATGGTGGGATTCCTGAGGACTTATATTTTCTGGTTTTATGGGGGAAAATCAGAACTAGTTTCCCAGAGGAAGTGAAAGTTAAGCTGAGACTTAAGAGGTGACATTCAGCCAGGTGAAGCGCAGTAATCCTGGTAAAGTGTCGACCTATATATCCCCCAGTTTTCAGTAGTGCTCAGGGGACTTTCCCATTTGTGATGACCCACATGGCAGTGAGCGGGAGAGGCAGCCGACTGCCATACAGGACAACTGTTGTTTTATTCCAAACTACCTCTCTTGCCCAAGCAGTAGTACACAAGTTGGCAAGTCGTATATTAAAAAATATGTATTAAGTGTATACAAATATGTATCATATATTATTTATGTAAGGCCGGTTGCCTCGCCAGGAGTCCAAACACACCCACCTCTGCACTCAGCACCTGGCTCTGCACTCGGCACCTGGCTCTGCACTGGGCACCTAGCTCTGCCGCATGGCTCCTCTGGAAGGCTCCAGCTAATGCAACCCTGGCCGGCCCTTGTACTAGAAAAACCTGCCCAACAACCCGCCAACCAATAGCGGCCCACCCCGTCCCAATCTTGCTCCCCTGGAGCCAATCAGAGCACCCAGCTGTTGCTCGTTACCCATAGCCACAAAAACCCCACGCCCTAGGAATTCGGCGTGACTTCTCTGGCCCCCTTTCCCCGGACCACAGAACCTCGCCGGGAGCTGAATAAATTGGCATTTAATTTTCTTATACTGGCCTCAGTTTCCTCATTTTAAACTCGGCAATAACAGTTACAAGTTATATTATGTATATCTATAGGTATCCATCTATCTCTCTAGGAAACAACATTAAAAATGTAAGAGCTGGTCCCTTGCATTGGAGAGGTTTATACAGCAGTGAAAGACATATACAGGAGAATCAGACTTAGGGAAAGTGAATAATGAAAAAACATCACGAAATGCCAGGTGAGTGGCCTGCATCATACTTGCACTTAAAGCTTCATCTCTTCGCTCCCTGAACAACTAGTGAAACAGAAAGCAAGAATACGGGAACTGGCTGCCAGCTGGTTTTGATGTCTTGTCCCACCAAGAACTTCTTTCTGGCCTGGTGCAATGACTCATGCCTGTAATCCCAGCACTTTGGAGCCCGAGGCGGGCGGATCACTTGAGGCCAGGAGTTTGAGACCAGCCTGGCCAAGATGGCGAAACCCTGTCTCGACAAAAATACAAAACTTACCTGGGCATAATGGCGTGAACCTGTAGTCCCAGCTACTCAGGAGGCTGAGACATAAGAATCGCTTGAGCCCAGAAGGCAGAGTTGCAGTGAGCTGAGATCACGCCACTGCACTCAAGCATGGGTGACAGAGCAAGACTCTGTCTCAGGGGGAAAAAATAAACAAAAAACAACCAAAAAAACCTTCTTTTTGACATCCGGGACCCCTTCTGTCTAAAAGAAAAACACCACCAAAAGAAATCAGTCACCCCCATTACAGTGTGCAGGTTAAGAGCACTGAGTTACACCTTTTCCTCCAAGGGCTGGTCCCCAGATGCAACCTGGGCACTCCTATAGATAGATGCCTACGGTCTGCTGCGGCTCCCCCACCCGAGGCCTTTGCACAGGCTGGGCTCAACCCACTCACCTGGACCTGATGAAGGGGAAAGGGAGGAAGGCTAAAGGTGTGGGGCAAGGGAGGGTGAGGAGAAAGAAGGAAGACAGACACTACAGCACTCCATGGTCAGTGGCATAGAGGAGGCCAGCCACCAGCTGTCAGGGTCACTGTCATGAACTCCTGCCACTTCCATGCATGGGAGAGGCAGGGCCGGGCCTGGTGCTACCTGGGAGGAGCATGCATCCGTAACCTGGCTCCGGGCCCCACCTGTGCCCCTTCCCCTCTGGAACTCCCACCCTCACCCTCATTGCCGGGTTTCTCTGCTGGGTCAGTCTTTCCTTCAGGTGAAACCTCTGGCACTGTTTGTAGGTTAAATCAGGGCCCCGGCTTTATTCTGGGAAGTTCTGAATAATAATTACTGGGGGAAGAGGGAGGAAGCAACCGGGTAAATCAAGAAAGTAAGGAGTAGCCGCTGCTGAGGTCTCCGCCACTGTGTTGTCACTGTGCTGTCACAGTGCTGCTGTCAGCACACCCGGGCCCACCCAAGCCTTTCCATTTCTTACCTACGTTTGGTCTCATTAATGCACATCTAGAAATATTTTCTAATGAAAACCAATCCAGGATATATGCATACATTAATTTTCAGGGGATGTTTAGCAAGGCTATTTGTGTAGAAAAATTGGAGCTAGGTAAATGACTAACAATACACGACTGATTCTAAATCATGGAAATTCGTTAAGCAGACTTTTTGTTTTTAGACAGGGCCTCACTCTTTGCCCAGAAGCAGTGCAGTGGCATGATCATGGCTCAGTGCAGTCTCCAACTCCTGGGATCACGTGAACCTCCTGCCTCAGCCTCCTGAGTAGCTGGGATTACAGATTCACACCACCACCCCTGGCTAATTTTTAAATTTTTTTGTGGAGATGGGAGCCTCTCTGTGCTGCCAGGCTGGTCTTGAACTCCCAGGCTCAAGCCATCCTTGAGCCTTGATCTCCTGAAGTCCTGGGATTGTAGGTGTGGCCCACCACACCAGCCTTTTAGTAGAATTTATTGCTCACATTTAAAGTCATTTTACGAGAGAATATTTATGATCGACAGAAAATGCTCACTATAGACCAGGCAGGATGGCTCACGCTTATGA